AATTCATAAGTTGTAGAAAATGAGAAGTTTATTAGGTCTAATAATAAGACTAGCTCCACACAGCTCGTATTCTAGCCGAATTAAACTACTGAAAGACTTCTAGAAAGAATAATCAGATAATCTAATACCTCCTGCTGTTATACTCTCCATAGCTTTCGCAGCTACAGTCTGTATAACAACATTCTACCATAATTTACACATATTCAGCTTATTATTAGTCACAATATTTTACAGCGAACCATCATGATCATTAATCCAATATTAAAATGATTACAGTATTTTCGTAGACATTATTCCTACCACTCAAAGTAAAATGAACTAAGCATAACCAAATATATGATTTGCAATTCTATTTCTACCTCTAAACTTATAAGTAGCTCAATATCTTACTATATACAGCCAACTGTACTCTAGCATGGATTCTATCCTTACAGTCTATAATTATGGGCTACTAAATATATCATAAGGTAAATAAAGAAAAGACACTACCGTATATCATATTAAACATGACTAATAGTCTACAATCACAGTTCTAAGTTATTTTACAAATATCAAAAGTAAAATAAGTTCTCTCACTACATGTGTTCATGAGTATTGACAAAATCACTACCGTCATCATCCATTGCATACCTGACAAAACTAAATTATAATTATCTCGAAAATATACTATGCATGATAAGATCATAAACTAAAGTGATATTTTAATTGAAAGGTTCTAAATTATTTTATTTAACCATAATAAGGTAACAGCATATCTATTTTTACCGTGTAAAACTCCAGATATGATATCACTTTAATAATATATGATAACTGTTATGATCATCCTATCTAAAATGATACTTCATTTGCTTGTAAACTATTAGATCTGATACGTTATATCTACTATAAGCATCATTCTTTTTTGTCATCGAACCGGCTTGGTACCAATTCTGGTAATAAGAATAACAAGACTTGGCAGTTAATTACCTGCTAATATCAATGCACAAGCAAACAACGGGCATTATTATTATTTACTGGAATTGTTTTCAAGTTACTGCCAACGTTCAAATCTTGTTGAAGCCAGCTTTGTAATAATATAATAAAAGGTATTGTAATAAAAATGTCTCATATCTATTTAATCAAATTGGGATCTGATCTCAAAAAATAATTGTTTCAGTTGAGTAAACTTTAAACTATAGGCTTATTTCACAGAGTTTAACAATAGTGGCGCATAATTGAATTAATTAAGATTCTAATCAAAAGTATTACAAACGCTATTAGATGTGAAGTTCTGTCGAAGCTTATGTCTGTAATTCTTAAACATTTTAAATTTTGCGCAATCTATTTACAATTATAAATTTACCTATAGTAAGGCTGAAATCATCAAAAGAAGAGTTTTCCTTATAGATAGATCATCAATATGTTATACAGCACGAACCAACCCGTTTAAAATACCATTAATCCTATCTTACAGTCCAAAACTACGTTGCTGGGAATCTTCATAAATACAGCACGTCTAGTCATCTAGATCTATTTGCCACTCGTAGCTAACTGATCAAAACTAAAAATCAACATTTCTAAATATTAATTAACAATATAATACTAGTATGGCGACAATATCTACTTTTAGAAGCCTAGCTCTATCTAACATAGCTAACAATACAATCAAATATGGGGTGCAGAACTATAAATACTAGCACGTATCTAAATCTGGTAGTCTTGATAGTTTAATTACTTGCAAGGAATCGTCTAAATGTACTAATTTCATATTGAACAATTGATAGCAGGAATATTTAGCAAGATAAATGCCACACAATCATAATACAGGGCCGATTTGTTCTAGCCATGCAATTAACGCGTCTTATTCATTCGCCGTATTTATTAATTATAAAAGGAAGTTATCTTGCAGCTCGGCATTATTCTATCATGCGGTACCGTGTATCGAAAATAATTTTGAATGTCAGTGCTGAGTTTTGCAATAAAGTAATATAGAGCAATGTCTGTCTTGCGTGGCCTTGGTTTGTTGCTACGCTAGTTAATGTCATATCGTACTGTTTTAATCTAAACTCTTAGATTTTGGTATTTGTCACGGTAGTGAATCTACCATGATGAATGATAATTTACTTAATTTAGACATGTATATGTATCACGTTAAGATAGTTATTAATTTGGATATGTGCATGAATTATTTTATGACTTAATATAGCCGATACAAACCTGTTCCTAATACAGTTTAAATTATACTAAATATGGTATATGAATTGTCAATAGCAAATTCAATATGAATCCTGTTAATTATAAGCTGGGGCAAACATAACGTTAGTCTATAGTAATATTACAAATTCATTGGATTAGACTAGGAATAATTTAATGTATTCTCGAAGTCTTATTGGTCGAAATATATCACACATTGTAAACCGGTTTTATGGCAAGAAAAGCTATTTAAATGATTGATTTTGAATATTAAATTAGACTTGCATTTTCTAGAATAAAGATATAGTTAGAAGATTCTAAAAGTGCATTTCTCAGTCATTGTTACTTATCTAGGGTAATCTAAATTAGTTTAGATTAGGCAAGTTTAGTTAAGTAACAGTATTATTGATGCAAGCTGATTATGGTAAATCTACGTCATAACAACCTAAGCAATTAAATTAATAAATTCATCTTGATAATATGGAAGTAAATCTAGTTGCTATCATATAGCCTTTCTAATGAAAGTATCTCAACAATAACTATCTTCGTCGAAAGAAATTCCCTATAAGACTTTGTTGCAAAGTTTTAGAAATAGTAGAGCGATAATCAATTACTATAAGAATCTACTTTAAAATCTAAGGTATGCCAAGCTCAAAGTGAAGTCAAGCCTATCATATGAGTTCATTACCGCAGCTCATAAATAAATCCTATAAATCCATTTATGACAACATAATTAGCTGCTGTCAGACTTGAATCATCAAACAAAATACTGTTTCTCAAATAGAAATCACCATCTTCTGCAATCCGAATCGTTTTTACTTCAAACATTTTTAATCTTCTGTTGATATCCAGCACCTTTCAGTGTTGGTCATCTTCATAATTCAGTACTTCAAGTCGTGCAATCTTGCACTACTATCTCTCAACTGGCTAATATTAGTCATCTAGAATTTCTAATATAGATTTTAGTAATCATCTAGTATTAACATCACGATAATATCTACTCTTAGTTACCAAGCTATATCAAATACGTATAGCTATCATTACAAAATCATATATAGGGTGCTTAACTACAGTCTTAAAACACTAAAATTGGCGCCAAGTCTGATAGAGAAGGAAGCAGATGTTATAACCTGATTGCAATAATAAAAAATGAAAGATAACTAACCATAAATGTTTTCTGAAAAATAATATATTTTATTTTTGCTGGTAATTGTCATAAAGCATTAAGAATAAACTTTAAAGAGATTTTAAGTTAATAATTTTAATATAAGAAACATCAAGGATGGTATTTAATTTAATCTCTGCTAATGCTAAAGTACTACAGTTAAAATAAAGACTGATATGTGATTGTTACATTCATCAAAATAACTTAGATATGGAAGTGTAGTTTCTGATAACATTTTGTTTCGAACTTTTTAGAAGTATGAGTTATGTCACGTTCTGTGATAGTTACATAATTAGTATGTTACCTTCTTTCTATATATCGTTAAATATCACGATGTTATTATCACGTCATGCGTATATGGATGTAGTTTTGGTACTATATTAAGCTTATCTATATATGTATTCTCATGTTGCCATAGTCGGTATGATATTCTATTTGTAATGTCTAAACTAGGGAAACCTTTCTCTTAGAGATGATCTTGTGATCTATGCCAGTAGATCAAAGGTCATAATAAAGAAAGTATATAAACTCATTATTTTAACAATAAAGTTAGTTCTTCAACTTAATTACTGGGTCTCCTTGCTGAGTGCAGATCTAGTACTTGTTACAAAATTTGGAAGTTGGAACAAGTTACTACTTAAGGAATTGTTAAAGTTAGTTATAACCTAAGTTATTGCGTTATTATGATGACATAGTAATATGTTACAAGTATGTATCAAGAACATAGGAGCTTGATAGGACTTATAGTCGAAGAGATTTACATATAAAATTGTTCATTACCTCGAATGTCCGCATTTGATAATTCAATCGTAATAACAGGTTTGTTATTGAAATATGTTAATGGCATAGTAATAGGTTTATAACTACTAAAAGAGTATATAAGATGGACTGCGATCAATAAAAGCGATCCAGGTTAAGGCAAAGTTGTGTGATAGCTTTATATCGTATATTGTGTTGAGCGAGTTAGTACTTCGCAAGGATTCTGCCTACAATACCGTAGGCCAGGAATGTAGTTCTACGGATTAAAGTAAAAGTTTATTATAATTACTATGTTCTTTTCTTGTGTCACTAGAGTAGTTGTGGCAGTAATGAAAAGTAGCTCTCTAATCATGTTTTAATGGGTGCAAATGGGAAGCTCAATGCAATTGTTAATCTAAGAACAATATAGCAGTTCTCATTAGACATTTGAATGTTTTCATAGCACTGATCTAATACGAGTTCTAAAACCTACTTAAATTGGTTAATATTTTAACTTAAGGCGTGGGAGCTAAAAACTGAATAACTTTCTAACATGGCGTCATAAAATTAAGGCGTATATCTAAATTCTTTAGAAGACTAAAGGATTACCTTTCGTTTATTTAATAAAGACCTGAAATTTATTTTTTGCTTTTGTTTATTAATAATTACGGTTACCTTTGAAATACCAAATCTATATAGTACAATTTCATTATTTAATTAAGATGTATCTTGCTTACTTAGATCAAATTATCATAAATAATTGGGAAGCTTCTTTTAAGAATTAAATCACAATTATATTAAAGCTCAACTACGTATAAAACCTTCCCGTAGATCACATTTAGCTATAAAAGGACGAAATTATTATTATCAAATTTATTTTCGCAGTCTATTTTGCCGTATGGTCAAACAGATTCGATAGTGCGCCATGCCGGAAAAGATGCCTAGTTATCGCGTATTGCTATATATATTTATTCTTACACCGTTGATTAATGGTAACCAATAACATAATAATTTAGATCTTGTTGATAACGAAGTTTTATGAAATGTTTGAAATATTTAATATCTGTGTTATAAATTAATATTGTAATCTCACCTGAAAGCAAGTAATCAGTTTCTTAGATCGTTTAATTTTGCGCTGCAATTGCCGCAGCAAATTCTAACTTTTAGATTTCCCCCGGGTTAGTTGAAAACGATAATTCCAACAGATATTGATGTAATCAGCATTCAGAAGCTGCAATTCTTTAATTTCGCAACTCTACAAATCTCGTACTTGTTCTTTAACAATAATTTTTAAATCACGCTGTTATTTTAATTCCAACATATACTTATTCACTTATTTTTTCATAATAACAATTAAGTATTTTATAAATGTGACATTAGGTACGTTCATAACTTATCAGTAGCATATGCATAACTTGTAAACTAAAACTTACATCTGTTACTTCTAAAGAAGTACCCTTACCTTAAATTATAAGGAAGAATTTAATTACAGAGAAAACGTACTCCGTGATAAATCTATATAACTAACCAGCGTTACAGAAAGTAGGAACATCTTAAAATTTTGATACAAAATCACAACGATGACTATTTTCGTAGACTTTAAGCAACATTTTACGTCGTGAATAAAGTCCCATTCTATCGGAAAAACTATTTACAAAAATAAGTTGTTTATGTTGTTACCTCTCCTAGAGAAGAGTTCATGACATTTTTAAACACACAAATAAAATTTCTTTACGTTATCTGTCTTTTATACTTTTCTCGTCTAAATAATATCTATGGATTATAGTAGTAAACATGTCGTTACATCCGTTCTATCAAAAAATATTAATAATGGTTTCCATTAAATTTAGCCACAATAAGCTATATAGCTGCCCATGGATTTCTACGAACACAAATAGCATATGTTAGAACGTATCACTACTTAACCTAAAATAAAATAAAAGTTTTGAGATTTACGCTTTTAGACAACGACGATCTTATAGCCTTATGTCTTTGTTAAAATCTGATTAGTTAATAACACGCAAAATAGAGAACTAAATTCCTTCATATCTTCATTAAGAATTTATCTTTAATATTTTTTACGGATTAGGCTCACAAACGGTCAAGTGTGGTAATTCAAGCCAAGATATTTCCGCTAGAAGCATATGTGACTGTGTTGACAATTGTAGAAATAAGTTTGATGAAATAAATTGTGGTAAGCCAACCATAAAGTAAAGTAATTAATTGGTTTAGCAAGAAATGATTTGAAGAAAATTTATTAGAACAATCTTGTGCTTAACTTTCAAATTTTGGGCCATGAACACATCACGCAACATTAGTCTATTTATAGTACTCTAAATTTCTAATGGTATACCTCTAAATTTATATCAGTAAATAATATCGTAAAATCTTTCGTATCCTTCCGTCAAAGCTAACGATTACGAAAATATCTTAAATCATATCATATATTTAATAACTATTACTGACTTACTTTTCACCGCACTTACCGGTTGTATACCCAAAAGAAATTTTTGATGCATTTATTAATTAGATGCTTAATTAAAAATTTCAATCAACATGAATAAACGCACAGTCATAACATTAAATTTAAACACTATTGTCATCGAGGGTAACAAAATCTTGATCACTCCGAAGACATATAGCCCAAACTAGCTTTCAGTCTCTAACATGTACTGTTCCACCCTAAAGTAATGAAACACAAAAGATACTAGCACGTTTGGGGTTCTTCGATATAAAGTTATTACTGAAATAAGGTAGCAACTTTTCTGTAATTCATGTACAACGCAGTTTCATATTCATTTAAAAATTACGACCAGCAAACGGGTTGGAACTAGTTGTACAATCGAAAGAAGACAACTAATGATAAGATAACTCGTATGAAATATCACAAACAAAACTTCTCTAAACTCTAGACTAATTCACTAAAAGACTTATTATTTCTCAAGATTTTCAAGCAAAGTAATGTAAAGAATTTATTATGAACTTATAAAATCAAAGATGAAAAAATCGATAATTTATTCTAGGCCATTACTGGCTACTAGTATACATTATTGACACGTGATCTAAAAAATTACTCTCTTAATTGCAATAGCCACAAAAGAAGCGGCTTAGCAATTGAGCTTAGCAAAACTGTTACTCTTATAACTCAATTTGTAGCAAGAAGTAAAATCGACAAACATACATGATATCTAACTCTACAATACTCACTGTTCAATACAGAAACTAACGATAGATCAATTACTTGTACACGCAAGCAAAATATAATAATGTAAAACATAAAAATAGTAGAATATGGTCGTAACAATCGTTTAAGAACACCTGCACAATTAACAACGTCATGTAAAAGTGATGTCACATTCATAATTATATATAAATATAATAGGTAATTTCTTATAAATTTTGTAAAAACAATAACTATTTAAGTAATTAATCGGAAAGTGATGTATTTCTCGTAGTTTATTAGTCTAAGCCAGGTAGGATTTAACAGATTTAAACAATGTAATTAGATAAAAGGCGCCTTCCTAAAATTTTCAAATACACCTTGCCCACGTATTTTACATTTTGAGTTGCAAAATCTCCTAAATTCATAATTTTATTGGTACTAAAACAGTTGGTGTAGGATGTGTTTCTACTATATATATGCTAAAGTCTAATCATAACACAAATCAATATTTATTACTATTATGCCGGACAATAAATCTTCCGAAACATAACAAATAGAATTTGAGATAAGACATTTTGTCTAAATAGACTGTCTGACTAAGGCCATTTTCCATCGTAAGTGTACCTAGTAAGTAGCTTTTACTCATCGGGCAGATAACCATAACAAGTCCGAGCTCTAGCCAAACACAATAAGGAGAATAAATTAAGCGATTATAAACCATGGTATTATTGAGCAATGTGTCATATAAGCTAATTACTATTCGCAATAAAAACTTTTGAGTGGGTTGTTATATTCGTTATTAGTGCCGTTAAATATCACAACTATAAGATCCAAAATAGAAGAGTGCCAAACCTCATCAAGCTGTCATCTAAATTACAGATTTCATGAAAAAAAGTGTAAGTTAATATTATAAGCAAATAAAACTGGCTAGAGATATGTGAATTTTCTGTATAGCAAATCAAAAATTTTTATAAATTACTTCTTTTTCAGTTTGCAAGCCGTCGAAGTGTCGACTTTGGCCACTATCGAGCATGAACGTATCCAGCAATTCAAGCAGCAATGGTCACTGCGGTTAGTTGTTTCGTCCGATGATGGACTGATACATATATTTCATTTAAGTTATTACAAATAGCTTGACTGGAATTTACACGGCTTGACATTTGCAACGATGGTTTTATCCTTTGAGATACCAACTATCATGTATTCTAGCACTTTAGATGCCAATAATGATAAGAACGTACATCAAGTAAAATCATAATTTTCTTCTAACTAATTCTTTCTAATGGTGTCCTAAGTAGAAACTTAAATTGACTTAACATTAGTAGTAAAATGGACTAGAATTCACATTGGATAAGTATTCTAAGCTGAGAACTACTACATTAATCAATTTGCTTAGTTAAACTGCCGTGTATATATGGCTGTTCATGTTCTATGGCGGAAATGAAATGCACAAGCAGGAAATTCAGTAAAATGATTAATAATTTCATGATACCATATCAATATGTGTAAGTAAAATTATCTCATTATACTGCTAATATTATTCCTAATTAACAATTATTGGAAATGTATTGCAGTCTGTTTCTTGATTCAGTAAAAAAAGGCAGTTTTGGTATAACTCTATAATACAGTAAATTAAATAATGTAATCAACGTGCGACTATGAAATCAGACCTAGATTTTGAGTCATTCGATAGTACTTCCTAATTTAACACCTTTATTGCTCGATGTAACTTAACTTAGTATTAAATATAGACTACCAGCTATATCTTTCTATGATGTATTATGTCCTATCGTAGCTTACTTTATTTGTCATAAGTTATTATTAGTAGATTATAACGATAATCTGTAAATATAGATTTTATATTGGAATATAGATGGTCATGTACATGGTACAGTATGGTGCTGAATTATAGCTGATACTAAATATAAAAATAGATGCATAACTCAAATATTGGGGTAGGGGTAGTTTATCTTACTATGGCTAATCGTAAAACATAGTTACATAAATATTGTAGCTGTTACCATAATAAATTGAAAAATGATTTGCTATAGAGTATGTTACTAACGTTAACTTGAATATATAAAATTTCAGGAAGAATGTTGCTTACTGATTGTACTAGCAGATACTACGAAAACTGTTTAAGCAGATAATCGTAGATAATTCAGTAATTCTTCCTGAAAGTCTTTCTCGTAGTTACATTTGGCTAAAGTAGAGCTGTATATAGAATATCTTTGTATAAAGACTTAATATAGTTCTTATTTTCGTGACCTGTTATATGAAGCATGGAAGTTTAGTTTAACATTCTGCAATATATTCTGTAATTTCGGATTAACTACTGTGTGTTAATGTGTAATGGCTAGATTTAAGCAATTACTAACTGTTTTAGTTGAAGCTATTTTAACTAAGTTAGTCTAAAAATTGACTGATTTATGTCTTTAAAATCATGTAATTGAACATGATATAGCTGAATCGTGCCAAAAATTACCTTATCACGACCATAATTAAGACGTTAAAAATAGCAATCAAGTAAATCTGATCTTTAGATATTCTATATTTCACTTAATCCTATTAAAACTAAATGCTAATTTTAAATATAATAATCATTTATAACTTAAATTATTCGTACGTTTGAGCATTATTAAATTTGATGTTGAATTTCTTTGTTACGAAATGGTATTTTCCGTTAATTCATGACTACTAATGAATTATTTTAGGAACCTAAAGGGCTCTTCTGCCGCCATATTTACGATTGATACATCCATCCCTCAGCCATGGATTTATTCAATGTATGTTCTAATTACTTCAACGATTAATTAGTTATCGAAGTATTGGTTAAAATGATTTACTCTATTGTTGTAAAATCAATGTAAAACTAGTACTCACAGTTCGGTATCACTTGAGTAAATGCATAAGCCGGTTAAATTTGCAGCTAAGTATATTTATGCTGATAAAGTTCAAATTTGTATCCATATTTAATATATTTCGAATGAGAGAAGATCGCCCATTTAGTGATAAATAAGATTGTTGGAGCTATTCAATTTAAAATGCTAGTTCGATATCATGTTCAAATTTACCATATAATATGTATTGCAACGGTTTATAACAACATTTAACGGACAATTCGATAGTATTAATAAGGTTATCGCTCTGGGAAATCAGATTTAAATACTTTTTTATAGTAAGTACTAGTAAAGCTTCAATGGCCGGATATGCAAATATTAATTAATCATATTTTGATGTAGTAAGTTTTATTGAATATCCATCAGTTCTTATACTTAATTTTATGCTTTTCATTCAAGTACTTTCAACAATCAGCTGATGAGCGAAAACTTCGGCCCAAAAGTTTTGATTAATCTTCCAAACTTGTTGCAATTGTGAGTAATTATACATACCTATTAATGCTTAAAATCATTTGTAAATAATTGCTCTTCTGAGAAAATAGCACTGTAGCTTTCCATTACTACTGCTATAGTAAATAAATTAAAATACTGCAGCGAAAATAGTATAGTTTCGTTTGCATTCTAATATTATTTCTGCAATGTTATTATTAGAGCGTAAGTAAATTACCAGTATTACATGCTAATAGCATGCCTCCTGAATAATTATTGGAAGGATAATAAACTATTTTAAAATGAATGCATAATGACGCATTTTAAAGAGAAAATAACAGTGACTTAAATTGATTTATAAACTTTGCTAGGAATTTAAGAAGCAATCAGTTAACCCATATCCAAGACAAAACATTTCAATCTTTGAAAAAAATGGAGCATTTGTAATTGCATCTACAATATCAATTTATTAATCATGCAAAGTCAAATCTTGTTATATTTGTTAGATAATGAGCCTAGAATATTTAATATTGCTAATTTTAAGAATGAAATTTTGACTGGGATTAAACTTCATAAATCATTATATTAGGAGCTTACAGAACAACAGCATTGTAATTATTGAAGAAAATGCTTTCCTTGGATTGACAAATCTGAAAATATTGTAATTAAATATTTTTTCCGTGTTCTAATAGAATCATATACACAATGCTATACTTTACAAATGTGATAGAGATACTGTAAATAGTATACATCATATTGTAATTTTAATATAATGCGTATAATATCTTAAGTCATCAATGCAATTTATTTTAGAAATAACTTCTAATCGCAAATACCTGCAAAATTACTATATGTGATAATATTCCGTGTGACTTATGAATAAGTCTTATGTTAAAATCGAATTTGTGATTACTAGCAATTACTCCATAATTTACCAAAGAAAATTGATAATCTTTCCATGCTAAATTTAATAATCGACCGTAGTTAACAGTACTCTAGATCAATTTATATTTGAAATATTAGTATTTGTATGCCTTTTTAAGCATAAATGCTGACATTGATTGGAAATTTTGTCATTAATGCCATCATTGTGTAATATGAAAGGTCCTAACTTTTCTTTGCCAATTATTCCATGACATTTAGATGTTTAAACGATAATCCTATTCCTAATCTATCAATGAGAGTCTTCAAACCAGTGCCAAGTTTAAAATACCTGTATGTTGCAACAATTGTTTTATTTTAATTATCAATAAATCGATAGCTTAGGAAAATAGAAAGAAAAGACAGCCAAAATAATTCATTTTATAATTTAAAAAGATATAGCAAATTTCAATAGTGTATCACTCCTGCTATACTAATCTTTACAAATAATTATGATACTGTTACTAAATCGCAGTTTTTTAAGTGATCTAAGCGCATAATTGTTTAGCTATATTCAGTAAATAACTATTTCTGTAGGGTTAGATGACTTCAGTATTTCTTATTCGGTTTCAATGTCTTCAATAGGAGTATTGCATCGGCATATTTGAAAGAATTGAGCTGTACATCCCTACATGCGCCTGGCTTACTGCAACTGTATGTGTAATAGCTTGATAAATATCTAAATTTTTCGATGTATATTCTAATTAAAGAATTTAAGATGTCTATATTACTGTCACGACTTAACTCTTATTAACAGCTTTAAAATAGATTTAAAGTTACCGTAGTTTCTTTGTTCACTCCTAATATTAATTATGTGTGACTTACTTGTACTGTAAATATAAATTTAATTATGGAGACATTGGCATTTAATCAGTCCTTATAAAGTGACTATGTTGCTACCTGATTCATAAAAAATTAATACGCATGCAACTTTATATTAATACTGAGGCCATCTAAGTTCCAATAATCAAAAATTATTTAAAATCCGTAAAGTGCATGAAATGCCTAGTCAATCTTGGAATATGCGAAATAGCTGCCGAAATAGTTACTTTAGTAATACAGTAGTAGCAAGCTCTGCTCCATATATATCTCCGTGACAGTACTGATACTCATTAAGAAAAACTGAATAATTTTAAAATACTGGATTGCAGTGTGTCCGTCCGTAGACAAATCTTTTTAGTATAACCGATACTTTGCCTTTAAGTCCAAATTTCTATCATAAGAGATCGTATCATAATCTATTTGTCTCAATTACTATATAAGAATTTTATGACAGTACTAAAAAGATTCATTGTAGTAATTTATGACCAAAGTGATATCTATTACAAATACTTATTAGCTCTAAATACTATGAACGTAAAATTTTCTAAATTTAGCTATTTCATCTTCTTAGCAGTTTTCACCTGTCACTTGCTTATTTTATAAAATCTAATTCAAGTTTTTCTGACCTTTGTTAGTCTAAATTACTTAAAAAATGAGCATGATCAGAAATCAAATTATAACTTTTAGCTTTATTTGTAAACAAATCGAGTTGAATACGTTAAAAGAACATTATTAATTAAACATACAGTACATTTTTTTAGTGCAAAATTAATCAGTTTTTATATCTAATCCCACAATTGGAAAATTATCGGCAATTACCCAACCGTAGCGATGAGTTCTTGAGACTTACATGAAATCTGTTTGAAGATTCATTATATTATTAGTTCACAAAGTAATAATTAAAACCTTATCGAAAACATTTAACAATCCTGATTCTTTTTTTAGGCATCTTTATAACTTAAAAATTCAAAGAATTGGACATGGAACATTTAATAAATCAGGCTCCATAGTTCTTTTGTGAGTGTCGTAGCGTTGTACAATGTACTATCAAGATTAGAGTAGAAATATCGATGTTAGAATAATTTTGTTGGCTTACCTTTATTTAGTGAGTATCTAATTAAAATATATGATGCTTAAATATAGCACCAGCTTTTATGGCAGCGATATATAACACAACATATAAACATACAATGAAATTAATAGTTAAATTGGGAATCGAGAATGATCTACTTACAATTCAAATCACTACGATTGTATGATACTTATATTGAATAGTAGATTATCGTGAAAATATTCTGTGATAGGATATATCGTAATTTGACTACTTTGTATTAGTCATTAGACGTCTATATTCGGACATAGTGTTGTCTTTATTAGGTAGAAGTAAGTAAAATTAGATTTTGATTCATTGCAAGGTTCAATGTTAATATTCCTAACTAAGATGTCTGAACTATCGCAAAAGAGTATACTCGTGCTAATGCGGTATACCGTATAATAAAATTAACTCTTAAAATTAGTATTTAAAGCAAAATACGAGGCGTTCAAGTCTGTGTAGTCTACTAGTATTGGAAAGGTGTTCTTGATGGAGTATGCATTACTCCCTGATACATGGTTCAGAGAGTCGACTTATTGATCGTACATTACGTTACCTTACCTTGTTGCAATGCTGTTTAGTACCAGTGAAATAATAAATAATCATTAAATTAGTAAAAATATCAAAGCTAACCTAATTACTTAAGAGATGTCAAAATCATTTGTATTTACATAAGATTTTCTGTTAAATTCCATCAGAGATCTGATGAGGAACCAGATTCGATCCATTGCTCCGCGTACATTTGATGGTTTAAATAGTTTAAAGATGTTGTAAGCATTATCAATCAGCTCTAAATTAAATATAAATATCTGCGGTTTTGTTAATTCAAAATTATAGCGAATAATTACTTTTTATATTTCTTGTGGGTATTGTGTCAATCAACAAGTAGTATATCAGCTATATTTTTAACTTCGGCTTGATATAGACAAGGTTAAACTTATATCCATGTATTGGGATATTTAAAATTGCTTATTGATTTTTTATACTTGCGTGATTCTTAATATTTTGATTATGTTCAATACAAAATATTGAAATACTAACGTTGTTTAATTTTTTAATAGATTTTTAGATTATAATCCGATCGCAATAATACCTTCGAAAATTTTATCAGCAATGCCCCTCCTTGAAACCTTGTAAATAATAATTTAAATTATTAACTGTTTAATCTTAATGTAATTTCAGAATTAAATTTCCTTTCTATCAACATTCACGATTTAGTACCAGTTCAAAAACTATGGGTCTTTCAATGGAAAGGCATGCTTTCCGAAAGCAATATTATTTGAAAGAGATGTAAGCTTTGCTTTTAGATTTTTTAATTAAGTATATTCGCGGTTATCTAAGGAAATACCGGAATTTCTAATTGCAAAGTGTCCATGTCGAGTATAGTAATTAATAAGAAATGTGAGTAATATTAGCTCATTGCTGCAAATAAACACTTTTCAGCCGGAAATTTCGGCTTCTTTGGTATTAGCATTCCGTTTGCATACACGATATTAGGACCTTGCAGTAATTTGAAATGTTACAAAAAATTTAATATAAATTAAGAATATTAAAATTGAATATATTAAATTCAGTTGTGATACAGCAACTATGAAATGAGGCATAACTACGAATCTGAAAGTTCACACTAAAGAACTAACTAAACATGATAGTTTAATTGCATTGTTTAATGTTATTTCAATCCAATAGATATTTAGGCTTTTCAAATTATCGAAGTATTGGGTGTGAAACCTTTTCTCAATTACCCAGAATTAGCCTTTTGTAAGAAATCTTTTATTCGGTCTAATTATAGATAATATTATAAAACTGAATCCTAATTCAATTTATTTAGATACCTAAATTCGGGTATAATATCTCATATTTGCGATGAAGCATTTAGGGACCTTAGGCACCTTTCTATCTTGTAATATGGCTAGTAAATGTTATGCAAACATATTAGCGAGACCACTAACGTGATAAATTTGATTTCATACGGTAATCGATGCAATTCAAGTTTCTTACTGCTTGTCTTAAATATTAAACAGAAATTTAGGAAGCAATAGACTGAAGCATTTAAGCGAATACACTTTTTCTGGGCTCGCATCATTAAAGATTTTGTAAGGAGATTATTTGGCTGTTATAGCATTCTTCGTTAGGATCAGACTATTAACCTTTTAAGTACTTTACAGTACTATGGCAACATAACGTGACCATCACTGTTTTTTTTCGATTAATTAATCTAACCACTGTAATGAATTCATTATTTAATTAAATTATGGAAAGTAAAACACTTAACACCTCTTGCCATGGACTACTAGATAAATGGAATATCTTGAATCGAGTGGTCCATGGCTACACAGTATCATTGGTGACTTTACATCGGTGAAAAGTGAACAAGGGAATCTTGAAGCTATCATCTTCGCCATTCACTTGTCCACTTTTTCTTTCGCTTCAGTTACAGTACTGAAAGACGGAGATCGTAATCTTCTCTGTCTCGATCGTGCCCGTAGTTGTAGTTCCCTCCTCTCTCTCTCTCTTTGATTTACTTAGGCCAATAAAGCTTCTTTTCTTCGGGAACAATTGTGTCTCTTGTCGACAGTCTAAAACCCAGAACGTGAATGCAGTAATGTAGAACTACACGACAGCAGGTCTATTGTAGAGGTCTATTCCTTTCCGTGTTGAACGATCCGCTAGCGTTGGTAACCGGTTGGAAACCAGTGATGCTATCAGTAGCAGCTGTTAACATCGCCACTAGTATCGTCGTATTTATTAACCTCCATAGTAGTCAAACGATTAAAGCCACGCTGCATAATAAGCGTTAACAGGACAGCACTAGTGCAAGTACTTGTGTACAGAACGCGAATGCTAAATCATACTACTGTACACTTCATGCTTTTACCAGTAAAGCAAAGCATCGCGATGCGTATACGAGCCCTTTATTTGTTTGCTATTCGTCAACTCCGTCGACTACTGCAAGTACTTTTGTACAGAACGCGAATGCTAAATCATACTACACTCCTTGCTTTTACCAGTAAAGCCAAGCATCGAGATGAGCATGTGAGCGCTTTATTTGTTTGCTTTTCCTCCACTCCGTCGACTACTGCTTCTACTGTTGAGCACGAGCTGTGCCAGTTAGGATCGATTCAAGTTGCAACCAGTGTTTTAAATTGACAAAAATTTTTAATAATCGCACGTCGTTTAATTTATAAAGCAAATTAATTTTTCAAACTATTACCCACTCTTCACCCAATAACACAAACTAAGTTTAAAATACTAAAATCTTAAAAATATTAGCAAAAGCAGATGTATTAATTAGTAAAAATTAAAAAAATTGGTTAATACTTTCAATACTGATCTTATGATACCGTAGTCTAATTTATTCATCGCCTCTATATAAGTCGTGGCGGATTTATTGCTTTCCGTAATAC